ATGCATCAATAAAGGCACTTCCTAGTAGTCTTGGCCATTTGCAGGTTTTGGGTGGTCACTGAAGCCACCTGCCAGCATATCCAGGAACAAAAATAATGACTGTGACAGTGGTAGACTGAGGCAAGCAGCAGTGTAACTTGGCTTTTTGAACATTAAAGAAATTGTAAGCTGACGCTAACTGTCCTGGGCATGTAGCTGGGAATTGAGGTGTCTAAAATTACTGGGTGTGCTGAGTTCAGTGATAGTAAAGCAAGGGGGCACCTTCCTTAACTTACGTTTGAAATCACGTGTGGGTTTTAGAAGGTGGCCAAGAACTACTGACATGCTGAGTGCATGTTAGTACAGCCTCAAGGGTCACGGCAGGGTATGATTGCCAAAACTCCAGATTTGTAGCCCAGTTGTGTTTAAGCTACTTTCCTTCCTCCCCGCCTTGTCTCAGCACACCCTAACGATGGGAAAATGCTGAACAATTCCAGCACGTCTTTGCTATCATGGCCCGGCCATGTACCAGGGGCTTTTCTGTGGTTCCACATTGTATTGGTTTGGATCACAGAAATGCGGGACCATAACAAAAAGGTAGTGGGGAATCTGCATAGCTAGCTGGAGAATCCTTGTGTCTTCACAGAGGTATATGAATAAAGATGAAGGTGCCTTTTTTGTATTTTTAAGCCTTTTCCTCATCTCCCTGTAGCTCAATAGTTGGCAAGTTTGATGGGGTTTGGGACAGAGGAGCTCTGGTAGCTGTGAATCCATGCGACAGACAACGGTTAGTAACTTTTCTTTGTTATTGTCTTTTCTCTAATGTATGCAGTGACACAAGTTTTTCCTCCTGCCACTTGTCGAGGAGTCCTCTTTCATTTAAAGGGGTAACCTACGCAAGTTCTCCTCTACCACAAGCATCAGCTGCAGTCGCAGAGTGCTGTACTCTAGATTTGTGAGCTTCCTTCAGGAAGCCACCCTGCCTCTTGGTGGGAAAATATGTGGTTTGTTGCAACCCAGCAGAAGCAGAGCTGCAAGTCTCATCTGAATTTTATTATTTCCTTTTCACCCCATCTGCTTCTCCTCTCTGTTCTTTTTGCCCTCACTTCCCTTTATTCCAATTTTTTGTTCTTGCCTATTGCCAACCCAAATGTAGTTTGACCCTAGCCCAGGATTTTTTAATTAGATACATAATCTTGAGTAATTTTAAAAGATCAGTACTGTATTGTGTATGGTATTCTAGACTGTGGTAGATGAATACTATGTTTTGTCTGTTAGTTTTGAGATGAATATGCAAAAAAAGATAAATGCTTTTTTATGAGGAGTAAACAGTCACCTGTATTTGAGGTGTTTCACGTGTAGCATGAATTTCATGTTCATGAAATTCAAACTAAGCTTTGCTTAGTTTCTGTGCAGTTCAAGTTTTCTCTGCACAGAAATACATTACCTCTTTTGTTGAATATTTCGAATGCTATGCTTGAATGTCTGTACAGTTCCAAAATAATAAAATATAACTTTGTTTTTTTAGCTATGTCAGTTTGATGATCACCCTAATGGAGAAAAATTCTTCTTATCTCCTCGTTACTGTTTCATATGATCCAAACAAACACAAAGGTGAGAACTTTGCACTGTTCATGCTTTAATACAAAATGTATATAGATGTGGTAGATATATTAGTGTCTTCCCCAGGTTTTTCATCAGCCATAGCTTTGTCAACTGATCACACCAATACAACTGTGTGTTAAAAATGTTAGATGTTGACCAAGCTTGAGACTAAATTTGCTTTCTCTCTAGCATTCAGACATGCTAAGGGTCAGTGGAGGACAGACATGGTATATTAACAAAGAAATGAAACTGGAAGTGTGGCTATAACAATGAAGTTGGAAGAGTGAATGCTTAGAGTAACATCCTATCTAGCCTAGGGAGCTTGAAGCGCTCCCAAGAACATTGGCTTTGCTCTGTTACCCAATACTTGCAACACAACGTGTTCCCCATCTTGTGACTCTCTCTCATGGTCTGAATATGCTTGGAAGAGGTGAAATTCTTTAAAATCATAAAGTATTTTTTCCTTTTATAACTTTTATTACATACCAAAGTCTGAGGTATTTAATTTTTTTTTCATATTAATACTCAAAAGAAAGAGATTTCTTGCTGCTTTTGGGTTCTTCAGCATAATTATCCCTGAAAAAATAGGTCTTGTTGTCATAAGCAACAGTAGTTTAACTCATTGGTCTCCCTCTCATATTATTCAGCTTTTAGCTTTAATTATGCCATTGTAGTATAAAGAGATTGTTAGCTGGATTCGCACAGCACACCGAGAGTGGTTGTATCCACAGCACGTTCATGACTTCTGTCAATGTGGCTACCCTGGCTGCAGCCTGGAAATGATGCAGCAGCAACACCTGAAGCTGTTTGGTGGCCCACCGAGGATGCCATGAGTTCTTGGAGATGGTGTTTTCTGGTTCCTGCAGGTGGTGCTACACACTGGGGCGTGATGGCGGGCCAGGTGCTGTGAGTGACGGGGCTGGCTCTCCTGCTGCAGTGTAAATGTTTGTCTCCTTCCTGTGTCTTCTCTCTGATTAGCTTCACCCGTTTTCTTTCAGGCCCGCCGTTTTATGTTCCTGAATCTGAAATTAAAAGCTTGTTTGGTAAGTAATATTTCAGCTAACCCTTCAGAATTTTTTCCAAAACACATGAACATGTTTATATGCTTCTACCTCGCCCTGTGACAAGTGATAGAGAGACATTTGCTTCTCATCTAAGGGGTGGAGTCATGGAAAAATAATGGGGAAAATAAGTAACATTTAGCCACAGGGATTTTGCTGTCAAGGAAAATTCTCAGCTCTTCAAAAGACATGAAGAAAACCCAAGAGACAGATACTGTATCTTTCCTCCCCTTGGCATCTTTTCCTTCTCCCAGGATTTATACTGCTGCACTCAGTGATCTTGCAGCTGCAGTCTTAGTCCTGTTTGACCATTTTGTCTTTCTCTGCACCTCATCACCATCTACCCTGGTTTTAACAGAGGGCCTTTGCATACCAGTTCTACGGTTTCTGCTGTACTTTTGTAGTCTAAGAAGGAAGGTAACATGCCACGTGAAGAAAATGCTAAATGTACAACTCAAATCCATCAAAATAACGAAACTTGGAATTATGGCAGGAATTGAATTTTAAAAGTTCCTCCTGATGATATGCTTTGATATTGCACTTCTTTTAAATTTACAACTGTCTGAGCGCCCTGCAGTGTCTGTGTGCAGTGAGTCATTGGCATGGACAGTTGCATCCCTGTGCAAAAGAGATGGATAAGTTTTCCCCAGTGCATTGGTGTCACTGCATTAGGGACTGTGAGGAAATCTGTGGATAAGATTTTTATTTTTTTTTCCTGACAGTTTGCATTTTTCAATGACTAATTATTCAGTAATTTGCTACTCTTTCCTCCTTTTCAGGCAACCGCTGTGAAATTAAGTGTCTTCAAAAACTCAATGACTTCTCAGAGAAACACAGACAATGGGGACTAGATTATTTTCTGGAGGTGCTATATATACTAAAGTTTGTAGCTTGATTAAAACGAATTCAAATAATTTACCTCCCATCTTGCTTTTATTTTTATCTCAGCTTTTAAAAAGAAACACGTTTGGGGGCACTCTTAAAGTGGGCTTCAGAGTACAGAAAAACGCCTGTGGAACATTTTTCTCCATTTTGCTTCCCAAGTCAGCTCTCCTACCTCTTGCACTTCCTTCAGCTTACGTCTCCAAACTGGCTTCACTGCCTGGAGATGTGCATAGCTCTTCTGAAACTCCACGCACAAAGAAGCATTTTTGAAGTCTTATCTTTTTCTTCCGTATCAATTCAAATCATCAGAGCTAGGGAAAAAAAAAAAAAAAGAAGAAGAAGAAATGTTGCTGTTCCTTTTCAGCCGTTGCCGGTTGATGCTGTCCACCCGGTGCTTGGCCGGTGGGCTCAGTGGCTGGCAGCCCCCTGGGAACGAAGGGCAGCTACTTGTCTCAAGCACTATCCCCTGCGATGGCAGCTGGGCTGGGAGAGGCGGGAAGCTGGCGTGAGTTGCTCCTCTTCATCCCTGTTAGTCGCCATGACAAGTGGAGAGAGGAGCTGGCAGCGAGCGGGCAAAGAACCCTTGGCGGCAGCCACCAAGGGGGGGAACCCATCGTGGAGGAGGAAGGAGAGGAGGGAAGTGAACCGGGTGAGGATAAAGCGGGGAGAAGATGTCCCTGCGGCTGCTCGCGATCGTGATGCTCCCACCCGCAGCCACCACCGGCACCCGGCGAGAGGGGTCGGAGAAGGCCTGCAGAGCAGCTGCCGTGTGTTCAAACCTTCCTTTGAGGGTCTTCTATCGGTCCCCTATGGATACTACCGCAATTTTTAAAAATGACAAGAATTTGGGGCTCTCAAACCCCTCTCTTGCCCCGGCCTTCTCCCCTTGGCAGCTTATTTAAAAAAAAATAAAAATGCAATGTGGCGTATTACATATAATTCACCAGAAGGCGAGTCAAAGCCAGGGGGCTTTTTGTGCCGGGTGACGTCAGCACGGCTGTCCCCACGCGCCTATTTTGGGAGCTGGTGACCGTTTTGGCGGGGGGGGGT